ACCACCTCAATCTATGTTCTCTCATCTTCTCGGCTACCGGTACTACTCCGACCTTTCGTCGAATATCTTCATTTCTTATCTTATCCATCCTTGTGTACCCACACATCCACCTTAACATCCTCATCTCTGCTACTCCCATCTTATGCTCATGTTGCCTATGTGCTGGCCAGCATTCCGCTCCATATAGCATTGCCGGTAGTACTGCCGTTTTATAGAATTTTCCTTTTAACTTCAGGGGAATTTTGCGGTCACACAAAAATGCAGATGCACTACGCCATTTCATCCACCCTGCTCTGATTCTGTGATTTACATCCTCATCAATCTCTCCACCATTTTGTAAAATGGAGCCCAAGTATTTAAAAGCATTTTTTTTGGGTACCTCTTGACCATTTAGATGCACAGGTTCTTGGTCCTCATCTTGTACCAGAGAAAACTCACACTTCAGATACTCAGTCTTGCTTCGACTTAATGTGAATCCTCTGGATTCCAATGTGCTTCTCCACAATTCAAGTTTTCTATTAACACCCTCCTTGCTCTCATCAATAAGCACAATATCGTCTGCAAAAAGCATACACCATGGCACTTCCTCTTGAATATCTTTTGTTAGTTCATCCATAACTAAGGCAAATAGGTAAGGACTTAGAGCCGACCCTTGGTGTACACCTACCGTGATAGGAAAATAACTTGATGATCCGTTACAAGCTTTTACACATGTAGTAGCCCTATCATACATATCCTTGATTGCCTTTACATACTTTAATGGAACCTTTTTCTTCTCCAGGACCCACCATAAAACTTTCCTTGGAACCCTATCGTATGCTTTCTCAAGGTCTATGAACACCATATGCAAGTCCTTCTTCTTTTCTCGGTATCTTTCCATTAGTTGTCGCATTAAGAAAATGGCTTCCATGGTACATCTTCCTGGCATAAATCCAAATTGATTTACAGAAACCTTGGTATCTCTCCTCAAGCGATGTTCAATAACCCTCTCCCACAGCTTCATACATAGTATGTTCAATAACCTTTTTAACCCTCTCCTGGCCCGCTATTGAATGTGAGTTAAAAAATTGAACCCACCCCGTTTTATGGTGGTTTGGCGGGTCAACCCACCAACCCGCCAATTAAAAAAATTAATCAAAATTTAAAAATAAATTATATTTTGTGAATTTTTCTAATATTATTTTATCTTATTTCACACTTCTCTTAATTTTTTTCAGTCTCAATCTTAAATGTATACTAATATTTGTCAAACATTCTTTAGGAACTCATTTGTCTCCATATATAGATAACATTTTTCATAAATAAAATTTTTATTCTTTATCTTTTCTAGGAAGAATTAAGATAAAAAAAATTGGATATCACAAAAATTTAATGACAAATGAAATACTACCTAATTATAAAAAAAAGTATAAACCGGCGGGTCAACCCGCCCCGCGACGGGTTGAACCCGTTTTGATCCACTTCTAGGCAGGGCGGGTTGAAGTGGGTTGGTGGGTTGAAAACCTCAACCCAACTTGCCCCGTTTTGGCGTTTTGGCGGGTTGGCGGGTTGACCCGTCGGGTTCAACCTATATTGCCACCTCTATCTCTAGCACCACCATATCATTACCACCGTCGTCGCTGTCGACACCACCATCGCCGCAGCCACTGCCATCACCACTACCACCATGCCACCGCCACCGCTGTCATAGCCACCGCCGTCCTCACCACCAACTATCACCACCGCCGCCGCCACCACCATCATTACTGCTCCCGCCACCACCTATTATCCTCGCCACTATTACCACCACCACGCCGCCACCACCACACCATATGGAAAAGAAAGTGTAATCTGGAAAAAAAAATTATGCTTAACAGGAATTATATTTATTATATTATTTGTTATGTTATCAAACGCAATTCTTATTCTATGAATAAAAATAGAACATGTTGTCAAACATTTTTTTTTTCTCAGAAATTGTTCCACTGCACATAAATAAAAAAGAATTGTTTCTTTTCAGAAACAGTTCCAAGAAACAGAATGATTGTCATGCACACCCTAATCGGGTCAAAAAATGTTTTTTTTTTTGGGAGACGGTCAAAATAAGTTTTAACTACGCATATGAAGGGCTGTTTTCTTGATCTTCGGCAAATAAATTTTCTCTTCAACAAATTTCTTCGAGCATGTCGTGGGCTGATTTTTATTATTATTATCGCCATAATCAAGGTATATAATGATGTATGATTTTTGTTTTATAAATGACATATCAATATCACCGACACCGTTGTTGTATATTTTACATAGAAGATTAGAAAGATTGCACGGTTCCTGCATCTATCCATGATGTCCAACTTTTTGGTGCTTTTTTGGTCATGGTTTTTGCTTCTGTCTGCTGTATGTATAGCATATATAGCAAATATAGCAAAAGTTGATTTGAAGACTCCGATAACTAGAATCTGTAAAACCAACAAACAGTGCAGTTACTGTACCTGGAGAAAATACTGTATAGTATACATTTTGTTAAAAATATCAGTAAATACTTTTGAGTTTTTAACAAAAGACATTTCTATGAATATAGTTATGAGAATAATTTATTAGTCGTTTTTAATATTTAAACTTTAGCCTTCTTTTTTAGAATTATATAATTGGCTTAGCATTTAACTTTTGTTCGTATATCACTCAATCTTGAATTTATTTTTAACAGAATCAATCTTTATTCTATATCTAATAGATTGAATTAGACTCTGTAAATTATATAATAAATTTCATACAAGTAAACTGCTTGGATTCTTTTAAACTGAATCGATTATGTTAGCAAAAGTTGACATTACACGAATATCTTTCTTTTTAATTACTCAAGGGTGCTTTCAAGGTCTTTCTTTTATAGGGATGGTATATATGCTCCTTCTGAGAAATTAGCAATTAGCTGCACCGTTAAATTACAATTTGTAAATAACCTCCTTTTCTTCGAATTAAAAAGAAAGATATACGTGGAATGTCAACTTGTGATTTGAAGTCACTGTCACGTGATTGTGGATGGGGACATGAGGGTGTGGATCCCCCTTCCTTCTTGTTTGAAACGCAAGCTTTAGCTTCTGTTCATATCTTCTCACCTACCCATCATCATCTATTTGCCGTTTCATCTGCGATTCCGCGTGTTTATGTCATCACAATCCAGCATGTTTTTTAATTCTATGCAAAATAACAATTACGTTTTAAACAGTTCAGCTAAGTTTTTGTTTAGTCCATTTTATTCATGTCAAATAAACATTTAACAAGTATGTATATGGCAACCATCTGTGACATTACAGTACAGATTCAAAGGAGACCTATCTATCCAAAGCTATATTAAAAAGAACGATTAACACAAGTTTGCCAATTGGCAGACATCGCAAATGATGTCGATTGAGAAATTAAAAAAATATGCTAATTTTATGACGTTTCACCTGCCAAATAATTGCAATCAATAAAATTAAAAAAGAAAAAAGGATTACTGTAAGCATTTAGAATCAGAATGCCTGTAATTTCCTTAATTTATCCGAAAAAAGAGAAAATAAAATGGTTTAGGTAGCAAAGCATGTGAATTGTGCAGCTTTTGCCTGACAAAAATCCTCCCTTAATCGCACTTATTTAATGCATTCGCAGCATGATTCACTGGCAAAACCCACCAAACCCCATAAAAAAATTTCACTTTTATTAGGATTTAGAAGCAGAATAAATGAATAACAGGAGGGCAAGAAAGTAAGAAAAAGGCAAAACAACAAAGGGGGAGGAGCGTTGTTGCGTTGGGGTTAAAGTAAAATATATAGCAACTCAAATGGAAAGCGCACGTTGGTTCATGATGATATAGATAGAAATCTTCCTTCTCAGTGAAAGTACCTCTCTCTGTCATTGGTGTTCTTGCGTTGCTTTGCATTACGTCAGGTCCTTCTCTATCCTTGCAACAAAACTTCAGCGCAACATATGCATTGAAATTCAGTGCATCAAAAGTCTATTTACTCTAGAATAGGTGGATCCAACTACGTATGGCTACGTGGGTAGTTTATGGGATTCTAGAAATTTGTGCAGGAGATAAATAAACTAAGTTAGCACCGAAACTTTTTCCCTACTCTTGGTCCAGCTTGGATGCGCTCTTTTTAGCAAAACCTCTCTCTCTCTTTTCTTTTCATCCGAAGCGGTGGAACTGGACTCACGCCCACTCTTATTTTTGTCTTCTTCTCTTTAGCATATCATTTATATTTTCTTTATGCTTCTGCTTATGGATTTCTAAGACTCTTTCAATCTCGCTGCTTCTGCCTTTCCCCACGTTGGCAGAGGAGTACAGGGGTTATTTGTCAACTACAGTGTATGACATCTTTCTTTTTCTTTTTTTTAATGATGCTTCTTTACTTTTATGTTTTGAGTCTCTTCTTGGATCATTTATATCATTCTTTAAATGTTTACATTAAAAAGAAAAGGAAAAAAAAAAGGTTTGACTTTTACCCCAAGCAATTGATCACAATTGTTTTCTTGAAAATTGATGCTTATTATTACAGAGGTTGACAATTGGGATTTCGGTGGTGGTGGATGCAGTTACAGATTTAGTAGAACTCGAAAAGATGAACACAAGAGTCAAGACGAGGCTGCAGTCTAGGAAAGCTCCAATGGCACATGAAAAAATAACTCACAAGAAGGTACATTTATGTCGTTTGCATTTTTAAAAAACGGTTGGTACAGTAAACGACGTTCGGGATTATTATTAAATTAAGATGATTATGATAGCGTAACAGTTCTCATGATAAGCTCTGGGCTTCAGTTTCAATTACCAAAGATCCCACAAATTGTTAGAAGTCGTCCTGTCTTTTCTTTAAATAAGGGAATGAATTGAGGAAAAGAAAAAATTCTCTCTTTCTTTTTTTCCATAATTCATTATTGGGTTGGGTACTCTATATCTCAAGCTTTCAAACTTTTTCTGTTTTGTTCGTGAATTTGCTATATTTCAAACTATATCATTGCATAGGTTGATTTTAACCTCTTTAACCATGAATGAAAAGGCAGAGATGCGGGGAAGCTTGCGAGAGGGCACAATCAATGGAGCTAAAGGTGGAAGAACATCGAGCAAAGACAGAAAATTGACTTTGCAACAAGATGTAATGGCATTGTTTCTTATCTGGGCTTCATTTTGTTGCTTCTAACTGGCCATTGAGATTGAGTCTTCAATTTTCAGGTGGAAAGGTTGAAGAAGAAGCTTAGGCATGAAGAGAACATTCGCAGGGCATTGGAGAGAGCTTTCAACAGGCCTTTGGGAGCTCTGCCTCGTCTTCCTCCTTATCTCCCTCCCAATGTTAGTGAATATCTCTCCCTTTTTATTGTTTAGTACTTTTCTTAACTATTATGAAAGAAATCACTTTGAATGGTTTAGAGTGAAAAAGGAGCATGACTATAATTACAATCACAAGTTAGAAAGAGCAAATGAAATCATTTGAATAAATTTTTTAAAGGTTTCATAGAGGAGGTTATCATATTCCAGAAAGTTGACTATTTGGCTGCTGAATTTAATCTTAAAAAATCCAGACACTAGGACTTGTGGCCGAGGTGGCAGTACTAGAAGAAGAAATTGTTAGGCTTGAAGAGAAGGTCGTACATTTCAGGCAGGACTTGTACCAGGAAGCTGTCTACATGTCATCCTATAAAATGAAACTGGAGCATTCAGCAGCTGTGAACAATACAAGTCCAAACCATAGTCCCAAACTGGCCCAAACAATGGATAATGTTGCAACATCTGCAACTAGGCCTAGAACAACACTTCCAGGTGAGTAACTGGCCATCATGTGCCCCCAATTGAGGTTAAGCTGTTTCAGAATTGAGCATGCATTTCGTAAGGTGCATTATGTGACAAGTGTGTAGTCTCTGATGGCATGCACCTCTTGTTTTGTCTTGCCAGAGGATAGACAAGGAAAAGAGAATCCATCCAGTACTAATTCTTCAAAGAGCAGCAAGCAATCCATATGTAAAGGCCAAACGGCAAAAACTCCAATTAAGAAAATTCCCGTTGACAATAAATCACTGAAGAAACGTTGGGATCCTCCAAAAAAGAAGGTGTGTCAAGTGTAAAACTAGTTTTCAGTTGTGTGATAGGAGTAGTAGGTCAAAAGCTGAAAGATAATTTTGAAGTCAATGAATGTGAACTTTCCCACTGTGCAGCAAGAACTAAGGATAAACAACCAGCCAATTGCAGGAGTAAGTAATCGTAGTCTATACGAAACACCACCAGGGGATGAAAGCCCAAATATAATCTCTGCAAATATTCTAAAGTGTTTATCAAGCATTCTCTTAAGAATGAGTACTGCGAAGAATCACTATCAGGGTTCAGCAGGTGATATAACACCCTTTGGGGCTCTAAAATCTGAAAACTGTATTGAAGGAACAGAGTTTTGGGATCCTTATGGTATCTGTTTGGAATTTGGAAAGAGAGATATTGGTCCATACAAGCAATTACGTGCAACTGAAGCTAAATCTTTCAATCCAAAACGAACTGCAAAGTCCTTGTTTTTACTGCATCGGTTGAAGTAAGTTATATTCAATTTATTCTTTTCCACGACATTATTGATCATGTCAATTAGATGTTATACAGTATTATAATTTCCAGAAATTTGCAGACTTCTTTTGAGAAAACTAGCCTGTGTCAACTTTGAGAACCTCAATCACCAGGAGAAACTTGCATTCTGGATCAACATCTATAACTCGTGTATGATGAATGTATGTCAGTTATGTCCATTAGAACAACATTTAGTATCATCTGATTCTAAAAGTTTCTGTTTTTTTCTTTTCTCACTGCTTTTTGCCATTTTACTCTGAGTAATAGCTTATTTGAAGTTCTGCTTTGCTTCAGGCATTCATAGAAAATGGCATGCCAGAGAGTCCGGAAATGGTTGTTGCCCTGATGCAGAAGGTATGATCTGCTATAAAATTTTGTTTCTTCTGGTGAGGATGGAAATGCATTTTGTTTGTTCCTCAAGCTGAGTATACTAGCATTGGTGTGCTCAAGAACTTATGAGGTTTTCTTGTTACTCAGGCAACAATAAATGTGGGTGGACACTTCCTAAGTGCAACAACTATAGAACATGGCATTTTAAGACTTCCTTATCACTCGAAACTTGTAAGTTCTTTCCATTGCAAATCTAGCTTTGCTTTGTATGGGAATATATAATATATAAAAATGCCAAGCTTCTTACAGCTAAATTCCAAACAGACATTATCGAAGGGAGTGAAAAATAATGAAATGACAACAAGAAGCATATATGGACTGGAATTGTCAGAACCCCTAGTGACATTTGCTCTCTCTTGTGGAACTTGGTCCTCTCCTGCTGTAAGTTGATGCCTAGTGTGAACATTGAATTTTTAATCTCCTATAGTTAAGACACTGTCTGATGATAAATCCATTTCTAAGTTGATTGTAAACGACCCTTTTTTTATTGCACACAATAAGTTCAATAGTTTCATGATTTGCATTGTCTCGTTGCTGATTCATGAACTTTGCCAAATTCAGGTGAGAATTTACACGGCATCACAGGTTGAGAACGAACTGGAAGTGGCCAAAAGAGAATACTTACAGGCTGCAGTTGGAATTTCAACATCAAAGTTTATTATCCCAAAGTTGCTGGATTGGTATTTACTAGACTTTGCAAAAGACTTGGAATCATTGCTGGATTGGATATGCATCCAATTACCAAGTGAACTAGGGAAAGAAGCCATTAAGTTCCTTGAGAAAAGAAAAACCGAGCCCCTCTTACAATTTGTGCAAATTATGCCATATGAGTTCAGTTTTAGATACTTGCTATGTACATAATTTTGCTTATTGTTTTCTGTATATGGTTTTATTGATGTTGCAGATACAATTTGTATACAGCTTTTGATCATACATATAAAGAATGCAGATGCCATCTGTTCTCTTTCCCCATTTTGAGTATATTTCCGTAGATTCCTTCTTCTCAACTAAAGTGAAGAAAGAAAGTGAACGCTGCATAATCTGTGGAATTTGGAGTACTGAATTGAGTAATCATAAATCTAACTTTACAACTCAAGCCTTAAAATATCAGTCTTGACTAAAATTGTTGAAATTCAAATACATGAACCATGAGTTAAAAAAACTAAATAATTACAAAATCAATCCTAATTAATAATGGAAATTAATCCTAGTTGATTCCCATTAATTAGGGATATATTTACCACCGGTGAGCATAATTTGATTGATCTCCCCCTCAATCCTCACTAATTACTCTATTTTAAGAAGGAATTAATTCTTGATTGATACAAAAAATCATATCTTCTGATTTTCTTTGTGAAATAAATAGTCTCTAACTAAATTTTACGAGCCAAGGAAGTAATGAAATTCTATTATTATTTGCATATTAATCGACACTTATGTTTGGATTGACCCTTTCCCATAAGGTATATATATTAATAACATTAGGGTTTTTTTTGTAAATATTCCAATCGATTCATTGCTTCGCAACTAATCCGATTCGGGGCGGATCCAGAATTAAGACTTTAAACTCATTCCAAATGTGGTACTTGGAAGATTCGAACACATGTCATCACCCCATGTGAATAACCTTAGGATATACCATCCCAAAAGTTAGATCAAAGTGTGAGAGTGCCCAAGGTCTTATAAATTCTACATTAGTTGCCCATATAACCATTGTAGAACTATATATTACAACCAATGTGGGGACTATAAATCTCAACACACATGCTCTCACCTCACCTACTTAGCTCTCATGCGCCAACTGAGCTTATAATAACATTCGGTTTATAGCATGAGGTTGCCATTAATTGACATTTATATGCTTTTAGTACGTCAAGGAACAAATGGTGCATTTGTACGACGTGCAGAAGATAATTCCCTTATTAATTATCTAGTTATTCGCACAGGCAGTCATGGTTGGCTTGTGGTCCATAGCTTATTTTTGGCGTAGCAGAAGGCCCCTTCAATTAATATATTTAGCCCTTCGATTAATATAATTGACACAATAAAATACTCTACGTACTTGCAGCTCCATTATGCTCTTTTGCAGCCAAAAAGTGGAATTTTTTACTCAGTTTACTCCAAAGAACACTTCAGAATGGTACTTGTAGCAGTGTCAGACATGTGTTATGTCATATATATATCTAAAATACTCTATTTGACTGTGAAAAAAATTTAAGATATTTTAATAAAATACGTCCCCTTACGCCTTATCAATTATTTATTTCTTATGAATTTATTACTTTTAATGGAAATATTTTAAATTTTAAATTATATTGGGTATCATAGCAATAGTACTTACGTAAGAATCCCCCCAGGAATGAGTCGATAGTCCAGAGTCCAAACCCCGAGCCCTGCACATGGTTCCGTTCAGGGCCATGGTACGAATTCTGACTCGTGTCAGATGTGGAACGTGGGCTATCAATCTTTTGGGTAAATGGGGCTGAGAGTTCTAGGGCTGAGAACCAGCATGCTGTGATGGACGAGATACATAGAATTGGGCAAGCCCAATTAGTTGCGATTACATTTATTTGATTGGTTCAAATCCAATGGATCAGTCAAGAGTCAATTTTGGTTTTTGGAGTCACAGCCACTTTTAACGTTTTGTGTGCAAATCATTTGGCTGGCGTCCTTGAAAAATAAATTATATATAAATAAATCCAACTCAATCAATTGACTTTGACTTGAATAATTCCACCAATCTGTGACTTTTTATTTTTTGTCATGATATCATTATCAACATTATTTTAAGTTACATTGAAATGTTAGATATCCACAATCTTTATTGTGTTTTGTAAATGGTGGTAATGATCTTTTTGTTACGAGGGAAGCATGTTCTGTCAGATTGGATTTTTAGCTTGTTTATTATTTCAAAAAGAATTTATTTTCATTTAGTTTTCCTTTTTCCATTTTATGATTATTTTCATTTTTTTCTCAATGCAAACATGTGAATTATTCAGTAAGTAATTTTGTATTTGATTGGTAACGAGCTGCATGTAATGTTAGGGTTTCATCTTTAGAGTAAATATTTACCTCATACTTTGGGATTAAAAAAACATATTAGACCAAAAAGAAAAAAAGCAACGCAAGAATTCTAACAAGTCTGTAGAGTATGAAAGCATTTGTCACATGTTTGTTTGATGCTTTTGTGAAATGAACAACCGAAAGCTACAAATTACTAATAATAAATAAAGCCACAAACAATCATCTTGTGCGGATTGGATTGCGAAGAAGGCGATTGGATTGCGAAGAAATTAAACATGTTATTATACACCATTTTTTAACACTGTTTTTTCTTAATTTATTTATAGATAATAAAAATTAAAACACAATTTTTAACTCGTACTCTCTTAAATAAATTTTTCTATTAAAAATAGTATCAAAATACCGTTATCAAAGAAAAATGCCTTTTTGCCCTTTACACGAGAAAAGGGAATCATGGGCTTTATAGTTTCAAAAATGTAGACAGCTTTATTAAGTTGGAAAAGAAAGGAAATTAAAAAAAGTTTTCATCACAACTTTCATTGCTGCAGTCGGTGTCAGGTTGATATCACCGTCTATCAAATAGTTCCACAGGTTGGGCGGAATTAAGTCTAATTTTGTTACTCTTAATTGAATTTTTTTTTAAGATTATTTTTTATTTTTGTAAACTTTTTAAGATTAAATTTAATCGAATAACGACTAAATTATTGAACGAATTAAAATTAAGCCGACATGATATTACAATGAAATATATTAAATATAAATATCATTTATAATTAAGTCATACAATTTCAAAAAAAAATAAAAAATAAAATTAAGGAATGTTTTATAATCCATTTTTAAATATAATGATATCAAGTCAACCCAACTACGGTAAGTAGTGACCATATTTTGTTCTAAATATTACTATATATTGTTAATATTATTAATTAAGCCACGTCAGTACCTTTCTAAAAAAAATTTATAAATTTTTAAAAAATTATGTAATATAAAACTAAATAAAAAAATTCAAAATATGAATCAGACAAAATCTAAGAATACATTAGATTTTATTTTTTAGAACCTGAACTTCACGTAGTTGGTTTTTGATCGACAAACAAGAGACCATGAGAACCACTGATGTTGCCACAGTATATTGAAAAAATATCAAATATCTATTTTATAATTATTATAAGGGTAAATGATTTTTTCAATAAATGAAAATAAGTTATTTTCAATGAGCTTACTAGAGATAATTTCATCTTCACTGAAGAAATACTTTTCTGTTGTTATAAATAAGAGTTTAGCCATTCAATTTCTCGTCCAGAACCGGATTACCATAAAACAAATGTCGACTTGTCTGAATGTCTTTGTTTTTAATACATATGTATGGAAATGGAAAGGTCATTCTCTTCTAGAATCCAAGTTCACCCTTACGTGACCGCCAACCAGATTGATAAGTATCCATGGTTCCATATTTTAATAGCAGGCTGAATTGACCAAGTTAAAGAAGCAAGCAGTCAGGGAAATAAGACACACAGATGGGGTGATGACTTCCATTACGCATACAACTATACACATTTATAACATACTCAACAAACTCATCTAGAAGCAGCCAAAATACTTGGTTAATGCGGCCGTCCATTTGTGCCAATCCTGTGCCTCACGTAAAATCCACACGTTGGTGGTGTGTGAGCTTAGCTAGAACCAGAAGCTATGTAATGTATTAGTAAGTCCACATTTACCAAACAACATGTTAAAAGTCACCCATGTGGCAATATATTAAGTTATCTATCTATTATATGATTCTATTATTCGCACGCACCCTCCACCTAACAGGCTCAGGAGTGAGAATTTTACATAAGCTACAAAGAAAGTGGTCTTTGCTCTATAATAATATAATCTAAACGAGGGGTGAGGGGTATTATAAGGCGGCTATGAGGAGGACCCACCCCTTCAGTGGTCAACAAAACAATCTCCACCCCATTCTCATCTGATTCTGTGATCCTTCTACCCACCTTCCCTACTCTTACATTTGTGTATATATATTGCACAACTACCACACATACCTTTTGCTAGTAACCCATAAGAGAGAAACAAGGTTGGAAGAAGATGGAAGTGGTGGTGGTACATAGTCCCATTGGGACTCCCACAAAGGATCATTTCGATTTCAACGGGGCAAGGATTTCACCCTATCTGAGCGCTCCTTCTTCACCGAAGCGTTTTGGGGAATTTTACTTAAGTGCTCCCACCAGCCCATCAAGGTTTTACGGCGAATTTGATTACTTTTCGGCTTCTCCTTCAACCCCTTTTGATTGGGAACAAAAACCTGGTACCCCAAAAGGTGACACAAATAAGAGGGATGATGATGATGATGGTAAAGATGATTTCGCGTTCTTTGTTAGTCGTGAATCAGAGAAATCGTCTCGTTCGGCGGAAGAGCTCTTCGATGGTGGCAAGATCAAGCCTTTGAAGGAGGAGGAGTTGTCGGAATGTGCTAGAAGCCCACTTCTATCTCCGACCCGACCCAAAAGATCTCCGATAGCACAAGGGAAGAAGGTGATTCGCGAAGCATTCTCACCCAGAAAGAAGAAAGAGTCCTCCGGTGACTCTTCTGGATCCATGGAAGAGAGAAGAGGGAGAGATAGGACTCCAGCAGCATCTGTGATTTCTTCATCGAATTCGGGTCGTAGAGTCACGCGATCACACTCTCCTTACAGAATATCCCACCACACATGGGACGAAGAACCACACCAACCCCATACCAACAAAGAGGATTCCATTTCCAGTTCCACCACAGCTTCTTCTTCTTCTTCTTCCAAGAGTTCCAGAAAATGGAGATTGAGGGACTTCTTATTGTTTCGTAGCGCCTCCGAAGGAAGAGGTTCCAGCAAAGACCCATTCAGGAAGTTCCCTGTTTTGTACAAGAAACCTGAAGAAGGAAAAGCTTCAACCTTTAGATCCGTTGATAACCCCATCCCAAGGTCGAGAAGAAAGGAACCCGTTTCTGCACATGAATTGCACTACGCAAGGAAGAAAGCCGAATCAGAGGATTTAAAGAAGAGAACTTTCTTACCATACAAACAAGGAATTTTGGGCAGGTGGGCTGGTTTCACAAGATGATGCCTCTGTTCTTCTCATTCAAATTCAAGGACGCCAAACTCAAAACAATTCTTTCTTTCTCTTTTATTTTATTTTTTACCAAAATGTTGAGAATTTCTTATATCAATAATCAATTCTTCTATGGACGAGTAACTGAAATCATGGCAATTGTTAATTCTTCACAATTAAGTTCATAGCTTGATTATTCTTCATGTGTATGTATATTCTCTTACGATTAATTATTTATTCATGTTTTATATTATATATATATATACCGACATTTAAGTTACTTATCCAGACAATAACATGTGCTGCCAGCGATGAAGACAAATCAGTACGCACATGGGGCTTAATGACATTATGTGTGTTTAGAATGACGTTGTACCAAATCCAATTGGTAATAATCGTGGGGTGCTTAGAGTTGCTTGTTATTTATCGGCAATGAAATAATTATCTCTCTTTTCGTTTTCAGAAGGGCAGTGCTGGTCACATACCGCTTCCTAACTAAATACCGTTCTCTGATGGCCTTTCCTTAGTTATGGCAATGCATGACACAAAATCTTTCCACATATGTATCATAAGTAAATATAAAAATGAATTGACTTTGCAAAATAAATCCATATAATTTCCTTGCCATGTAGATATAGACCCTTTAATGTAAAAAAATAAAAATGTTAGTACAAACTGCGCACGTGATTGTGGAGATTTAAGGTCGGTGATAAAAAATAAAAAATAAAAACTTAGAAATGGCGACTGTCATGTTCATGTCTATCATTAAAAAAGTTCTTCTATCTGCCCAAAGCTACAAAACCATGAAAATTCTTTAAAAGAAAAAAGAAAAAAGTTGAAGTTTCCCCAAGTCTTTAATAAAACAGATCCATGCCTCATTTTAAGTACTAAATCGCCATGTGATATTGTCCTCACTACTACAAGGTTCTTCTTCCTTATCTCACGCATATGGAAAACGGAAAATCATAACTCCATATATCACCATGTATAAAATCGTTAAAAATCTGACTGGATTTCAATTAAGTTCATATAAACTTGAATATTACCATATTTGAATCTTATTATAGAAAATATTGTATAAATTACATGTTGGGAACTTAATTCATCGATTATTTTTTGTGTTTGGAATTAAATTATTTACATTTATTCCATTATAATAATTTTCTTTATTATCTTCTTTTAAAAAAGTATAATGATAAAATCAAATAAATATAATCCACCAATATATATATATATATAGGGGATTAATTTTTTCATTTTACATGAGAATATCTTCTCATGTTACACACACAATATATAAGTAGGGTTCACAAAAAAATGAGAAAACAAAAAATCAAGATAGGTCCCATTTTTTAATTGTGAGTGTAACATGATAAAATTTTCTCATGTAAAATGAGAAAACTATTTCTCATATATATATATATATATAAAGGATTTTATTAATCTCGTGTTAAAGGAGATAAGTTATCTCATGTCATATAGATAAATATGTGGGCTCCACCACCTGAAAAAAGAAAAAGAAAAGGAAAAGTGGCACAGTTATCGAAGGGTGTGTATGAGGGAAAACTTATCTTATGTAGCATGAAAATACTTTTTCCCATATATAAACTCATTAATTTAAATAACTAAAATTAAAATCAAATCAAATCTATTCAAAATAATTACATTTGAATTGATTCCTGTATGTACATGCCTAAACTCAAGAAGATTTCAAAACTCATGCATTTCCTATTTTATAACACTTTTCACTTGATAGAAAGTGGATATCTTCTTTGGATCTTTACATCTAGGCTTTGTTTGGGAGTTTAGAGGAGAGGAGAAGGAAGGGGATGCAAAGGGGAGAGAAGAGAAGGAAGAGAATAAATTTGAAGGGTATTTTCTATCCTTGTTTGGGAGTTAAAAAAATGGTAAGGAAAAAAAATATAGGGTTAATAAGATATTTTTACCATTTTATCCTTTTTTAAAGTAAATATAATTATTATATTTTACAAAATAAATTAAACTTAAAATTTCTAACAAAATTATTTATGTACTTTTCACAATATTAAAAAATATCGTATTTTCGATGAAATTTCTACGTTGCAAACGATGAAAATTTCGTCACAAAATCATTTTTTCGTCAGAACACTTTTCGTCGAAAAGCAACAAAAATTTTTCACCGATTAAAATTTTCACAAAAATAAATTTTCTATCAAAATTTTCGATGAAGATTAGTTTTCGTCAAAAGATTTGACGAAAATGATTTCCTCCATCAAATGTTTTAAACGCAAAAAGAATTTCGTCAAAAAATTTAACAGTGTTTATTTTCGTTCAAAATTTCGAAGGAAATGTGTTCTCGCAAAAATTTTGACGAAAATTATTTTGTCAAAAATTTTAAGGGAAATGTTTCATTCGAAACTTTTGACGAAATTTAGATTCTGTAAAGATATTTGACAAAATATTTTTTCCGTCGAAATTTTTTATCAAAAAAATTTTCGTCACAATTTTTTACGAAAATATTTTCTGTCAAATATTTTTGACAGACATATGTGATGTTGAAAATTTTGATGGAAATGTGTTTTATCAAAAAATTTGACGGAAATATTTTCCGTCGAAAAATTTTCGATATTAATTTGTTTTTCTCAAAAAGTTTAACGAAAATGTTTTTGTCGAATACTTTCGACAAAAATTAAATTCTGTAAAGAATTTGGATGAAATTTTTTTCCTTCAAAAATTTTCGATGGAAATGTGTTTTGTGGAAAATTTTGATGAAAATATTTTTCGTCAAAATTTTTTATGAATATGTTTTTTTGTGAAATATTTTGACGAAATTTAGATTCCATAAAGAATTTTGACAAAAATATTTCCGTCAAAATTTTTTACAGAAATGTTTTGTCACAAATTTTGAAGGAAATATTTTTCGTCAAAAACTTTTGAGCGAAATTTGGATGGAAATGTTTTTCGTAAAAAAATTTGACGTAATTGTTTTACGTCGAAACTTTTCGATGCAAATGTGTTTCCTCAAAATTTTGGACGAAAATATTTTCATCGAAAATTTTGAGGGAATTTAGATTCTATCAATAATTTTGACTAAATTTTTTTCCGTAAAAAATTTATGTGAGTGATTATGGCAAAATCTGATTTCGTCTTTAGTTTTGACGAAATTTTTTTGACGTGTATGATTTTCATCAAAAAAATTATCATTATTTTTGACGAAATATTTTTCGTCGATAAATTATGTCGGTATTTGAGATTTTTCTAATAATGTCACTTTTAAAAATGATTCACATTTACGTAGTTTTCACATTTTAATGCTAAGGGTAAATAAGTAATTTTTAATATATTTTTCCTTCAAACCCCCCAAATTAGAGGAACTTTAATTTAAAAAAAAATAAAGATTTTAAAAAAGTAAAAATTTCTAATTCCTTACCCTCATTTTTTTAAACTCACAAACAAGAGAAAGACTTTCTTAAATATTCCATTTACTTTCCTTCTCCTTCTAAAACCTACTCACAAACAAACCCTCATTAGTGGGCCGGGAATTCGGTTTGAACATAAAAAAGACCAGAGTAAGAAATTGTGAAAGAAGTTTTTTTTTTTTTTAATAAACTATCCTCCATGAAAAATAATCTTCTGAATTAAGATTTTAAATTTCTATTATAAATGGTATTGATGAAGATAATTGTGAAAGACGTTGACTTTAGTTTTGAGTCTAGACACAGCCACAGATAATATAGAAATAGCCCAATAGGCCTTACTTATTTAGGTCGTCGTTCAGATCAATAAAAGCCCAAATATTGGCCTACAACAATATCGGAAAACTGATTGGGTTTGCTACTGAATTATGTTAACTACCAATTATTTAAAAAAAAAATCACCATAAATATTTTATTCTTGGTAATTTAAATGTGTGTGGTGGTGGTGGGCTGCAACTCTTACATTTATAACCCGTTATTTAAGTTATTCTGCTCTTAAAAAGTTTCGTTCTGACTTCATAACATATGTTTAACGAGAAAGGATACTATAACAATCAATTAATGTTATAACTAATGTTATTATTAATTAATTTTATCATTACATAAATTATGTTGATTTAATGGTTATATTTATTTTCACCTTTGTATGATTATGATTTTTCATATTTAATGCTTTCATATTAAATATGAAGAATCATAACCATACAAATATGAAAGTAAATATAACCAATAAACGGTGAAATTGATTGATAATAACATTAATTTGTTGTTACAATATCATATCTCATGTTTTACATGTAAAAATGATTATTCTAGTTTTATTAATTCGTTAAATATGAATAAATTTTTTATAATATTTTGTAACGAAGATGTACCCGAGATGAAGATTTCATTCCGAAGACGGCTTGGGTGTTTGGTATGTGGAATTTTTCGGAATTCTTGGGAAACTGAATTTTTTTAAATTTTTTATTTTTGGATATTATCGTAAACTAAATGTAAAAATCATATTTTTGAAAATCGAGATTCCCGGATAAAAAAAATTTCTCCTCTACCAAACGTCCCGAAGGTGAAGTGATAAATTTCATGTGTAAGTTCATTCATACTAGCCCATTTCTTTGTTGAATAAACAATTATAATTCACTGGAATATATTTCATTAGATTAATTTTTTAATATATTTATTCAATATTTTTTTTAATAATGTTTATTTTGTTGATTCTCTTTATTTATTGAATTATCAACATATTTCCAGTTTTGCTTGAACGATTTCAAGATCTCAGGATATATAACTCCACATTTATGGGAAGGTGCTTTGTATTCATTCTATATCACTCCATTATTGAATGCAAACTGTGTGTTTTTCTTTTCTGTGAAATATAGAATATTGGAAAGATTTAATTGGATTTTGCGTAAACTGTGTCAAATACATGATTGTCATCTTTTGGGCAACCTATGGTTGTCAAATCTGACATCCTGCATTGTCCACTAAAGCCTCTATCTCTTGAAAGTGTATTTTTCCGGGAAAATGTTTCTGTTATGTCTATCTTACCAAATGAAATGAACCACAAGCACTTCAATCTGTCACATAATACAAACCAAAAAAAGTAGTGTACAATCATCAATCCCATCACTAACCCCAATAATTCCAAGGCAATGACAATGCCACTTTGATTTGAGAATCATTTATTTTAGGCTAATTCATTGATTCCAAACTGCCGCTCTTCCGCTGGTACGTAATAATGTCAAAGTTTAGCCTAACTTGATGTTTCCATTGGCAAGAAAATCAGAACAAAAACAAGAGGGGAGCAAGTGTAAGGCAGAGAATAAACATTGCATTATTGTTTGCTTCAAGTAAGGACATAGTGAGTGGTAATCAGTCACTGCTCTGGAACAGTAGAACAAAGTTAGTAATGTTATAGGTCCAGTAAAGCAAAAATATTATTTGTATAAAAAAAAAAGCGCAAAAATTATCAAAATCCATCACCACTGGAATAGCTGGCCCCAATAGCCCGGGACAAGCTAAGAAGCACCGATACTCCTTAATTTTTTTTTTCAACGTATCGGATACGTGTATCGAAAACATATTGTTTGGTAATCTACATCTTATATCATCGAATAACGTATCGAAAACGCGTATCGGTACTTCATAGAGGACAAGTACAATTAGTTCTTGGCCAGATTTGAAATCCATATCCACACTCAAACGCACCAGAACATAAACCACAATTTTCTACAGTGACTTTCACTTGATATTTTCTCCTGATTATGGTGATTGTCAAGTATCAACATCACAGTTATCCTAAAGATGGAGGGAAAACACCTTCTAATGGTAGGTAAACTTAATTAAGATTTTTTTTTTCCTTTGCCTTTATTATATAAAACCTGGTTCATGAATGATGCAATCAGACAGAAGCACATGAGAGGCAGAAAAATTAGAACATAAATATCCACTCAAACGCAATATAACATACACCATAACTTTTACAGGAATTTCCACTTGATTATCATCATAATATTATCTTTATCTTTTTATTTTTAATTTCACGACTTTAATTCCCCTTTGGAGTGAGTCACGTCCCTCAAATATCGCCATGATCAGGGTGGAGAAAAAAATTACACGCTCTAATTTCGAGTTGAATAACATGACAATTTATCCGTCCTGAAACTCATATTATCATCATTTGAACCAAAGGTTATGTTACCATTATTCCAAATTAGGTATAGTCGGCAAAAACATAAATAAAAAGTAATAAAATATTTTTCTGATTACAACATGTACATTTAATTAAGATGCAATTTTTTTTCCCTTTGCATTTATTATAGTGGAAAACATGGCTCATGAATGATGCAATCAAACAGAAGCACATGAGGGGCAGAACAATTAGGAGGCCTAAATCATACATTCATACTGCTATGCACCATACATAGAGGGAACTTTATTTCCAATGTATACTTGTCAACCTTTCATTGTACCAGGCTGATGCCGACGTTACTTCTTCCTTTTTTCATTAGTCGCGAGAAAGGTCCCCACTTTGGACGCAAACCCAATTTGTTATAATTTTGGACATTATTACTAAATATGCACCACTTTAATTTCCCTTCTAGCTGTTTTTACCAGTAGTGGTTTTATCTTTTTCTTCCGTTTTTTTTTTCTGGGGCAGATATTAGTTTAAAGGATGGCATGCATGCATGCATGTACGAAGGTATATAATAAGTTATATTAAATTGAAAAGATTCACTTTGCAGTTATCACAATTTCATAAATGTAAGCTGTTTTTGCACAACTTAATGGGACGCTTGCCTCGTAGCATGAAGGTAATATGTACGAGTAGCAGGTGTAAGTATATGGCGTATATGTAAAAAGCATCAGTGACAGTTTGTGATGGAAATAATATGAGAAAAAGACAGAAAAGGAAAGAAAGAGTCCGTCTCGTACAACCGGGCCTATTGATAATTTCTACTGCCTAACACACCTTTGCTGAATATGACCTATGGTCTGACACACATTTGAAAAAGCAGCAATTAAAGAGGCCACTGGAAAGAGAGAGTCACTTACAAGCAAAAGCAAATTTTCATGTACACACACAGCAGAAATGTTAGGGGAAGGATGAGCTTCATCTCAATAATTAGTGAAGTTTTGAGATGGGTTTGGAAAAGCATAAAGCAATTGATGTTGATACTCAAATGTAATGATCAGAGGGGCACATGCCAATCCAACATTACCACAATCCTTTCCCCCCCCTTTCTCTTTACCTTTTTTCTTTTCTTTTTTCCTAGTTTTTTCTTCCTTAATAACCCCACAACACCCGTGGTCCAGCCTGCCCTTATCTTATCACATTCAAGCCCCTATCTATTTCACAAACTTGGTCACATCAAGCTTTAATCTCAGTTTTTCCATCACCCAAGCAATTTGAAAGTATCTCTTACACATGCCACTATTAAAGATTCCAAGACAACCCGATCAAGTGAACAACTACCCCCGTAACCCTCTCTTACATCTTACAAGCTAGGTAGACCCAATAGTTAGCCACACCTTCCTTTCTCTATATGTATGCTCCATCTCGTGAGCTGTAAACTGCAGCCATATCCAACATACCACTCTGTTTTCCTAGAATTGTGTTGTTATAAATAACCTCAATTTCATAGAATTAATATATTAATATGCAATAATGCCATCTGTTCATTCTAGCCCCTGCTACCCGATGGAAAACCCGGCAATAGCATCGTTACTCCGCCATAATACAACAGGGGAGAAGCGTAACAAGTTCTCCACCGGTGGCCTCCTAAAGATGTTCAAGCTCTTTCCTATGTTAACCTCAGGTTGCAAAATGGTGGCACTGTTGGGAAGACCACGCAAGCCTATGCTCAAAGACAGTGCCACCACGGGTACAATCTTTGGTTACCGCAAAGGGAGAGTGAGTCTTGCTATACAAGAGGATACTCGTCAAATGCCAATCTTTCTTATAGAGCTCCCAATGCTTACGAGTGCTTTAAACAAAGAAATGGCCTCGGACATAGTGAGAATTGCGCTAGAGAGCGAGACAAAAACAAATAAGAAGAAGTTATTGGAAGAGTTTGTATGGGCAGTGTATTGCAATGGAAGAAAAGTTGGGTACTCAATAAGGAGGAAGCAGATGAGTGACGATGAGTTACATGTTATGCAGCATTTGAGAGGGGTGTCAATGGGAGCAGGGGTACTTCCAAACGCATCCGAGAAGGAAACTTCAGATGGGGAAATGACCTACATGAGAGCCAGATTTGAGAGGGTTGTTGGTTCCAAGGATTCCGAAGCCTTGTACATGATAAATCCTGATGGTGCTCAATGCCCAGAGTTGAGTATCTTCTTTGTTAGAGCTCACTAGAATTAATATACATACCCACCCTTAGCTAGCTACCTTACATTATTACTATTATTATTATTGCTATTATCATATCATTGTAAGCTCAAGCTTTTTGAAAAGTGTCGTTAAATGAATCACCTCATGACCATCTCAACTCGTTATTAATGCTTTCTTTCCCTTCAATCGTTCATGATGCTTTTTGAAAGATGGTTCAATTATTTCTTTTTCATCTAGCTCCTTGCTCTTCTCTTTATATATACTCGTCAAGTAACTATGTTTTATATCCTTGTGTAGAGTATTATGATTGCCAATTGATCATGAAGTCGGTTTGGATTCCCCTGAAATCAGAGAAACTTTTCTCTCAAGTAAATTCTTTCAAAAAAGAACAATCTAGCTTAGGCTATGGGATAAAGCTACAAACAATAAATTATACCATGCAATCACAGGTTTGAGATAACTTTTATTTATTCATTTATTTCCTGTCTCCGACTCTCCTCGATCGTTTTATCCATCAGTAGTTTTGGGATCAGAGAGATGATTTTAGGTGGCGAAGAAAGCCGAACCGGAAAGAAACAATTAGGGGATTTTAACAGGGACAGCCAAATGCAAATGAGTTGGTAGTAAATAATGAATACGCCCAGTTGTTTTTAAACATATTTTTCATTTCTATCGCTTATATACGTATGTATTTTTTTACCCATAACAAAATAACAAATAACATCGTGGAATTTAAAATCTTGATCATGATTGTTGATATATGCAGTGGTTGTATGTGCAACTAATGTGGAGTTTATAAGGTCTTGGATACTTTCACCCTTTGACCTAACTTTTGGCATGGTGTATTCAAAGTTCTTTACATAGTATCAGAGTTTGAGTTATAAGGTCACAAATTCGATCATCATCGCCGCCCCTACTTTAAAGTGAAATTAAAATAAAAAACACAAAAAGATAAACAAAGAAAGGTGTATCCCAAGATTCTTTACATCGATTTTATGTTTTCACAAAAAAAAAAAATTATCAGAGTTTTTTTTATTAATATTCCAAACTTGTTACGTTTTTTACAAAAAAAAAAAAAATTACGTTACAGTTTTATATTTTACGATTTTGATTTCAACTACCTTGGCTTTAATAATAGCTGAGGAATTCTTACAGTAGCTTTTTTATATAATAGTTTCAAAGAATCTAAGAGGCGCTGTACCGATTATTTTATTAATATTCATTTTGGGAGCTGCGGCCTGTCTTTTTGCGCAACGTTCTAAGAAAAAATAAATAAAGGCTACTAACTTATCTTGAAAAAGTATGTTTAAGTTTAAAATAAAATTTGTTTTCTATTTATTTATGGGTTTGTTTTTTCTAATGTTACTTTAGATAACTTTATCTAATGTTCATCAAAACGACGTCGTTTTGGGACGGATATCATGGTATTTTTGTAATTTTAATTTATTTCAGGGTTATAATAGTCTTTATCACTCTAATTTTTTAATTTTTCAACTCCAAAACGACGTCGTTTCGATGAACATTAGATAAAGTTATCTAAAGTAACATCGGAAACTTTTTTCCCTTTATTTATTTGTTATAATAATATTAATAATAAATTTTAAAAACAAAACGAGACAATTTTATAATTAGTCACAACTAATTTAGTCGAAAATCAATCTTATATTATCTCATTTTTTCATACGTGTCTATTTTTACTTATTTAAGCAAAGTAGATCCTAAGAATAAAGCGACGATCACATGTTTTTCTGACAATGGATTGATTACCTAAAAAAATTTGTGTAAGAATATGTGTGTTGCGTTGTTTATATAACATGATATCATTATCTTACAACTCAACAATACTCGTAATAAGATTTCGATCTTATTATGTGAAAAAATAATTATGTGATTATGTTATTTAATTATAATTATTCATTTAAAAATTATATATATTTTTTTTTCTTTTATCTCATCATCAATAAATAGTTATAATTAAATAACATGATTACATAACCACTTTCAAATATGAAAATATCCAAATCAGTCGTAATAAGACACCGATCATGGGACAATGGTAAGTATTTGATGTTTGCTCTCAGTCCAGCAATCATACGGCAGACAAAGAAAATCCGGAGTTTATTTCAATGAGGGTGTGTTTGGTACAAGAGAAATTTTTTGATGACCGGGAATCATGATTAATGGGAATCCAGTAGAAATTGAGTTTACTTGGAATCTTACGAAAGAGGTGTTTGGTTCGCCAAAATATTACCGGGAATATTGAGTAAAAATTACTGATTCCATATTTGGTTTAGAACGAAATATGACTTGGAATATGAGGTTATTTTACAAAAATAACCCCAAACTATTTTTACTTTTGTAATTGATAGATTGGGTCTAGATTTTTATGTGTATTGGGGTATTTTTGTCTCAAAATTTATTGTTGTGTTTTCCCTTTACTTGGTATTCTGAATTACCATATTATTTTTGGTAATCTGAATAGTGACTTTTCTTTATAAATCAAATTACCGGTAATACTTGAATATCCGGGAATCGTAATTTATTCCTTCTACCAAACGTGGTAATTACATTTACAAAGAAGGATTACCGGTAATCCTCCTCAAAAACTTGAAACAAACACCCCCTGAGTGGCAATCAGGGGATATACGAAAAAATGATAGGAGGGAATAATTATTAATTTATAAAAGGTAAGAAAATCTTACAGGAATCTTTCCCCTCATTACCCACAAACTCTCATATTTTGGTCCCTTCAAATTGGGATGAATCGTTCAAGTGTTTTATTGAAATTTTACAATCTAACTTAATTAAGGGGATTACTTCTCTCATGTAGTATGAGAGGAGTTTTCTCATGTTAAGAGATAAATAAAGTGAGCTCCAGTAATTTTTAGAAAAAAAAAAAAAAAAAAGACACATTTTTCGAAGGGCATTATGCATCAAAGAACTTGTATTGAAACCCCACAACAAAATGGGGTAGTTGAGAGAAAACACCAACACATATTGAATATAGCCCGTGCTATCCTTTTTCACTCCAATCTACCTATCCACTTATGGTCCTATGTCATTACACATGCCAAATATATCATTAACCGTTTGCCAACACCTATTCTGCAGAACAAAACCCCTTATGAAATTCTTTTTGACAAAGCACCCCTTCTTACCCATTTGAAAGCTTTTGGATGCTTATGTTATGCATCAACCATTACATCTTATAGAACCAAATTCCAACCAAGAGCCCGCAAAACCATTTTCCTAGGCTATAGAGAAGGTACCAAAGGATATATTTTATATGATTTATCCTCAAGAGAGATTTTCATATCAAGGAATGTAACATTTTATGAACTTACATTTCCTTTCACTTCTAAACTACCTAATATTTCAAAATCAAAACCAGAAGAACAAACACAACCTGATATATCTCTTATATTTGATGATCTATTTTCAAACAATACACAAAACCTCAATCCCATTAATTCTGATAGCAATTTACAACCTTCTCCTGATCAACCAGAAATTAATAACCTAAGACGCTCAACTAGAATTCGTCAACCTCCCACATACCTACAAGATTTTCATTACACTTATCCATCACATGCTGCTGTGACCATTACTCCATCAGGTAATACTAAACCTACTCTTGTTCTCCTAAATATACCAGTTTCTGTTTAAATGTTTCTTCTACTGTGGAACCAAAGATGTATAACCAGGCTGCCAAACATACACATTGGCAGCAGGCCATGCAAGCTGAGTTACAAGCTCTTGAAATGACTAACACATAGAAGATTGTTGATCTGCCTCCAGGAAAGAAACCCATAGGATGTAAATGGGCTTATAAAAATAAAACATCTAGCTGATGGAACCATTGAATGCTACAAAGCCAGGCTTGTTGCCAAAGGCTACACACAATTAGAGGGAATTGACTATTTTGATACATTTAGTCCAGTGGCAAAACTGACAACCATTCGGGTTCTTCTTTCTCTAGCAGCTAGCAACAATTGGTTCCTAGAACAACTTGATGTCAACAATGCATTTCTTCACGGAGACTTAAATGAGGAAGTCTTCATGGAAATTCCTCCTGGTATGTCATGTTTGAAGCCTAATCAGGTCTGTCATTTAAAAAAATCCTTATATAGATTAAAGCAAGCTAGTAGACAGTGGAATGCTAAGCTCTCTTCATCTCTTCTATCCATTGGGTATAAACAATCCAATGTTGATCACTCCCTCTTCATACAACACAACTCCTCTTTATTTACAGCCCTCTTAGTATATGTTGATGATATTGTGCTGGTAGGAACTGATATGGCAGAAATCAATCGTGTGAAGCTATTTCTAGATCAGAAATTCAAAATCAAAGACCTTGGCAATTTGAGGTTCTTTCTTGGTCTTGAAATTTCCAAATCTCAGAAAAGCATCATATTGAATCAAAGAAAGTATGCATTAGATATTTTATCGGATACAGGAATGTTAGCTTGCAAACCTGTCTCTACTCCCATGGATACAACATCAAGACTCAGCTGTGATACTGGTACTGTACTCACTGATGAAGCTTCATACAGAAGGTTAATTGGACAACTTCTGTATCTCACAACAACCAGACATGATCTCACCTTCTCAGTACAACAACTCAGCCAATATGTTTCCAAACCCACGGATGCACACATAGCTGCTGCTCGTCGTATTCTAAGGTATATCAAAGGAGCACCTAGTGTTCTTCTCCTCCACTTCTTCTGATCATCTCTCTGGATTTGCTGACTCTGATTGAGCTTGCTTCCCAGACACACGCAGATCAATTAGTGGTTACTGTGTGTTTCTAGGATCATCACTTATTTCCTGGAAATCGAAGAAACAGTCAACCGTTTCTAGATCTTCATCAGAAGCCGAGTATCGTGCTCTTGCAGGCCTTACATGTGAGCTTCAATGGATTAAGTATCTGCTATCTGATCTTCATGACTACAAACTCAAAGTTGTTGCTGTTTATTGTGATAACATCTCAGCCATTCACCTTGATCACAATCCATCATTTCATGAGCGCACAAAGCACATTGAAATTGATTGTCATGTTATACGTGAGAAAATACATTCAGGTCTCATTCACCTACTTCCAATTACTTTCGCAAATCAGTTGGCAGATGTCTTCACAAAGTCA